TAATCTAGCTTTTGAAGTTGGTGATCAATGGATTTCAGGTGTTCTACAGTAGTAGCTGCCAATGAATAGGGGTGGGTGCAAAACACAGAGCTTGATTGTTTTGAGCAGCAATCCCAACTATTGTAGTTAAAAAAAGGCTTTATTTCCTGGTCTTTTGACTGATTAAGATTGCCTCTCTTCTGTGCACTTTTATAGAATATTATATGGTGACTATGTATCCCAGTCTACATATTAGCCAAATATTAACTGTGTTTGATTTATGTTTTCCTGCGATAACTCAGCAGAAATACACAGTCTTGGTCTCTGTGTGTGTGATCCTTGTCGTGCTATTCATAAACTGTGTGGCCTTTAGAACAAAGAAAGTTGGGTACTCCTGTCTGTATCACTGGTTCCAGACTGGAATATATCATTTTATGTTCACCAGTTTAACAGGTAGATTAGTCTGAGCGTTTTTAGAATGTCGAAAGGCATTGTTAAGGGAATAAAAACTCAGTTATATCTGACACCATTGAGATATATTTGGGTTATCCAGTTTTAAAACTCGTATCTTTATTCCATTATCAGAATCAGTATTGTTAACCACCTAATCCCTTTGGAGTCAAGTACTGATATCCCATTTCATTGATAACTCTGAATACTTAGAGACATAACTGAGCAAAACTTAGATAACTGAATAAAAAAAATTACAACAGGCATCCTGATAATAAGGTTACAACAGTTTCATCTTTAAAAAATGCAGTTTTCAGTGCAGTTGTTAGATCTGGCTATCTGTGTAAGTGGAGATGGTGCTTGAATAGGCAGTTTGTTCATAAAGACATGTATCTGCAATTTTCCCCAAGGCATAATTTCTGGTCTTGTCTGCAGCAGACCACATCCTGCCTTTTTTTTTCATTTGAGTATCAAATAATCTCCCTAACTGTTCTAAGTCTTAGTTACATTTCCTTAAAGAAGGGTGTGTGTGGCTTTTCTGGATGGAGACTTCCTTTTTTCAAAAATAATAATAATAATGCACACCTGCCATAGTTTATTCTCTCCAAACAGCATTTGTCTGTTGGGGATGTTTGAGAGGTGTTTGTTTGACTGTACAGTTGTTGAAAAACTTTAGATAATACTCCTAAGACTGTTTTTCAGCTGTAGAAATTGTACGGTCTCCCCAGAATTGTCACATTTAAGTGTCTTTTAGGTTTTCCAATCAAATTTTTTTCTTTAGTAGTACGAATGATGTGGACACTAGGAGAGGAGATGACTATGAAAAGAGAAATGAGATCTGGTGTGGTATACTGGTTAAATTGTTGGACTAGAAACGGAAAATTCTGCTCAGCCACAAAATATCATTGTGTAACTTCGAGCCAGTCACTCATGCCTTCAGCACCACCTGCTTCACAGGGTTGTTGTGAGAGAAAATAGGAGGAGGGAGCAGTCTGCATGTTATCTTATGCTTCTAATTGAAGGCAGAATATAATTCAAATAAATACATGCAAGAGGTCATCAATTGGAAATAAAAACAAGCCTGTTAACAGGCTTGTAATGTAATGTTCTATAGTATATTTACATCTGTGCTGTGTAAGGTTCTGGTCACTGCATTTGAAAAGGGATATAACAGAGCTAGAAAAAGTGCCAAAGAAGGCAGCCAAAATTATTACCTTCCCTACTGAAAAAGGGTAGAATAAGTAGGAATTTTTAACTTAGAGAAAATATTATGGAGATATGAATTTACAATGGTAGAAAGAAAGTTGGCATGGAAATTTCCCCCCTGTCTTAAAAAATAGGACCAACAGCATTTAATTGGAAGGAAGATATAGAGCAGATTAAAAAAAAACAGTTCATATGGTATTTAATTAATTTTGTAGAGTTCATTATTACAAGACATGATTATGGCTACTAATTTGTTTGTCTTTGAAAAACGATTCATTCATGAATAGCAGTTCTACAAAAGGCTATTTGATTTAAAGACTCATTATAATTTCTGGATTGGAATTAGACTGTTTTTTCATTCCATTTGCAGAGGAATAATGCATGCTTTACATCTGTTTTTCAAGAAGAACCCCAGAAATGTGTGGTTGGCCACCCTAGGAAGCAAAGTGCTGAACTAAGATGGGCCTGGGATGGAGTATTCTTAAATTCTTGCTCAAGCTCAGTGTAAGGGAATCCTTACTATTTTTAATGAAATTGTATTTATTTATACACCTTCCTGGGAATCCTTGCCAATAATAGAAAGCCCAGGTATTTCCCCCCAAAGCAATTTGATAAATGGGCGACAAAAAACTGTTCTGCTAATGAAGATGGGTACTTAAGCCAATCTTTTTCTCCAGCACCGGAGATGGAGAATCCACCAATGGGTTAGCTCTGCCTTCCTGCCCATTAGACCAAGTCAGCCAAACTTGCCACGCCCATCCTTGGGTAAGTCACTCCCAGTCTTGACTTGGTCTTCAGCCCAAATGGACGTGATAAGTTTGGCTTCCAGTCTAAGGCAGGTAGTAGAGCTTAATTACTTTGGTGGATTCTGCTTTTTCTGACCCACAGCCATTTCAGTGGCTCGGGGGATGGTCCTTTTCCCCCCCAGATCTCTGGGCTATTGCTGAGGCTTCAGCTCCCTCCAAAGGAAAAGCCCTCTTCAGCTGTTCAGCACTGGGATCAGTGCTGCAACTAGAGCCTATTCAGACTTCCCAGGGGGTGGTGATTCCTCCCTCGTTTTCCTCAATGAATTGAGGAACCGGCTAAGCTCCCTGCCTCATCGGATCGGCGGCTGCTGTTTCCTTCGGGCTTTTACCGACTCCTTTGTTCTCCAAGCAGCCGCTGCGCTCCCCACTGATCAGACGTTCGATTCTGTCACTGATTCAAGCCGCGCACGCGCCGAAATTGCCAGTTTTACCCTCTGTTCTTCAAGTGGCCGCTGCGATCCTCGCTGAGTTGAGCAGTCGCCTCGTTGCCGCGCCAGCTCGCTTCAGTCACCATTTTGGGCACAGGGGCACCTCGCAGCAGCAGAAGACACTCTGTTGAATTTCTTTTTCCCGCCGATAGAGCGGAAGCCTCCTTGGCACGTCATTCGCGAGCGACAAGCATCTTTCGTGCCATTGTTCCGGACGTCATTTTGGGCTGCTGAAACAAACGCGGCAGACAAGCAGGCCGAGAAATTCCAGGTGGAGGGTTGAGCCTCCCCAGGAACGAAGATCCAGGGATCGGTCTTTCCCTCATTAAGGGAAGGGAGGGCAGCGCAGCTGCGGAGGCTATTGCCAGCGGTTCCCACCTCAGACAGCCCCCACCACCACACACACATCCTGGCCTGCTAACTTTTGGGCCCACGCTGCAAGGCACGGCCCACGGGGGCCACAATCACAAAATTCACAATTCATAGTAAAATTCCATAAACTATAATTTTAAAAAAAATAATTATTTCATAAAACTCATAATTCACAAAACATAATTCATTGCCCGATTCTTCAGAAGCTTCTGCTCCCAACACTCTTGGTGCAACTCATTGTCCTGGCCACCTTTTAGCGTAATCAGGAGATCTACGAGCAAGCAGGTTTGCTGCGGCCGTAGACAAGACTGGACCCCAAAGGGGGACAAGCAGCCCACTTCTTCAACTGGTCAGGTGGTTAGGAGAGCAGGACGGCATAATTCACTGCTCCACCTGCTCAGTCTATCTCACCAACTGATCCCCTGCCAGAGTTCTCTCTCAGCTTAGCTGAGATAGCTCACCTCAGGATGGAGGACTCCACGGTGCCTTAACCTAAGAACACCGCCTCCCTTTCCTATTATTTACATAATGATAAAAATTGATATTCTTTACATTGCTTATGCTGGTGAGTGGTTTTTACTCTTTTGTTTAAGTCCTCCTAATTATATATTTTAAAAAGTTAAAATCACCACTTGTGGTCTGATATCTTAAACATGGAGCTGTAAACATATTTGAAAGAGATTGACTGTAAATATAAAATTTATTTTGTATTAATTGGATCATTTCCTTTGGAATTGGTCATTACAATTTTACAAATGGAAATATCACTTCATCTTTGTTATTCATTTAAGTAGCATGAGGTTTACAGCTTTTATTGAGCATATTTTGCAAAGGATAAAAAAATTATATTATTCCAGTCAGTGAAGAAGGAATTGCTTGTGTGCAGAAAGTTTCCACTATCTCAGGGGTCTGCAACCTGGACAACTTTAAGACTTGTGGACTTCAGCTCCCAGAATTCTGGGAACCGAAGTCCACAAGACTTAAAGTTGTCCAGGTTGCAATCCCCTACACTACCTCCAGGAAAGGCCGAGATTGGAAATGATCACTGCCCAAAGTCCTAGAGAGCTTCTGCACCCTTTAAATTTGTTACATTACATCCTAGGGCAGTCCTAGGATTGAAAGTTGGCCCCAAGTCCTGTTACATTTTAAATAATCTTTGCTACCACTATAACAAACTACAGTTTTGTATTATTTGGGGGAGATCATTGTAAGAAATCTGCCTATTATTTATGGTGACAAATAATATTTAAGAGTGTGTGCTGCAGTGGCAGCAAAACAGCTGGAGGATGGATATGAATGTAGTGTAGCAAAGTTGGTTTGTAAATGACAGTACAATTTACCAGACAACTGACTCACAGTGACCCATAGTAGGATTGATCCTATCTTTAGCTTTTTTAAAAAAATTCTTATTTTAGCAGTAAATGGCTTTACTTGCAAGTTGTAAGGGTTTTTGTGGCATAAATGAGCACTGGGTCTGGTCAATTCTGCGTATTCTACTATGAAATTATAAGCGAGTTGGGAATGGTGACTGAGAACACCGTGTTTCCAATATGAAATAGATTGGGAACTTAGAATTGGAAGGATTCACATGAGGATAGATACTAATAAAAGGATGATGTTTGCTTAGGTATTATTTATGTATATTTGATACATTTAATGAATCCAATGAGACAATACAGATTTTCGATCTCTTATATTGAGTGTTATTTTTCTTCCTTTTTTAAAGCTTCTCCTCTCTTGCTTTTTGCAAACCGTCGAGATGTCAGACTGGTGGATGCTGGTGGAGTGAAGATGGAAGCAACAGTTGTAGTCAGTGGCTTAGAAGATGCTGCTGCAGTGGACTTCCTTTACTCACAAAATGTCATTTACTGGACAGATGTGAGCGAAGAAGCCATCAAACAGACTTATTTTAACCAAACTGGGAGTCTTGTACAGAGTGTCATTGTTTCAGGACTGCTTTCTCCAGACGGCCTGGCATGTGACTGGATTGGGAAAAAATTGTACTGGACTGACTCAGAAACAAATAGGATTGAAGTTGCTAACCTCAATGGGACATCTAGGAAAGTTCTTTTCTGGCAAGATCTTGACCAGCCAAGAGCAATTGCTCTGGATCCAGCTCATGGGTAAGTAGCCTTTCTTTAAACTTTCACATTCATTTGCAGAATCACGGTTGTTTTCATCTTGCCAAACGAAATACAATCTCTTCTCACAAATTCTCTTTTCTCAATGTATTTTTCTCTGAACGTATGTTTACATTTAAATAAAACATGGTATGAGGAATCGCAAGTCATAGAAGAGCACCCTGATTAACCGCCAAACAAAACATTAAAAAAGTTTCATTTTTCCAACTCAGAATTCTTTAAAAATTTATAAACTTTAAACTTTATAGCTTTTAACATTATAAAACTTTACAGTGTTATGCTTTAATCCAGTGGTGGCGAACCTATGGCACGCGTGCCAGAGGCGGCACGCGGAGCCCTCTCTGTGGGCACACGCCATCGCCCCAGCACACGTGGTCTCTAAAAGTTTGCCATCACTGGCCTAAGGCCAGCCAGCCTGGAGCCGCCATTGGGGAGCCCACCATCCCACCCGCCAGAGACCCCCTGGATCTCCCCCAACCCTGCCCGGCTCCCACAAGTGTCCCTCCCTATAAGCAACATCAAGGTGGCCATGCCCACTCCGGCCATGCCCACCCAATCTGCCATGACTACTGCAGCCACACCCATCCAGTGACCACGCCCACCCAGTCTGCCAAGCTCACTGTAGCTGCACCCGCCAAGTGGGCCACACCCACCCGGCACCCGGCGATACATAAGTGGGTTTTGGGTTGCAGTTTGGGCACTCGGTTTCTAAAAGGTTTGCCATCACTGCTTTAATCTATAATTAATGTGGCTGGTTAAAAATAATTAGGGAGGTTGCCTGCTGAAATGCATGATAGATTCAGTTTTGCAAATCTGTAACACTGGCTTTCCACTGAATCTTAATGAATTTTCAAATACTATGTTTGAGGTAAGAGGCGATCCAATAGTTTGAGATATAAAGAGTGGGGGTTTTGGCATGCTCTTTGGGTATGCTACATAAAAATCTAATTTGTTTGAAGATCTTCTGCAGTACAAAGGTTAAGACTGACCACAGATCTTATTTCTGAGGGCAAAATGTATAGCTTAAATATAATTCAGTTATATCGCTCAGTTCATAAAACTGTAAATCAGAGTGCATTTATTAATAATAACTTGCTTCACTTAGATCCACTGTGTAGTTCAGAATCAGTATAACTTCTTAGTAATAATGCTTTCGATTACTTAAATTCCCAATTATCCAAATATTCTGGTTAACCACACCTAACAGCAGTCCTGGCATCCAATTCAGTGGGTTCTAACATTAGAGAGCAGGAAAATAATTTTCTCATTTCGTCATTGGGGAAGAGATATTGTAAATCTCTTCTCAATGTTGGGGGGAGAAAATATTGGATACAGTGGATCCATGCCCCCTTTTCTTAAAAACCCTGCTTTAGGAATTCTGAATTGTTTAATTGCCCAAGGGATTACCTTCCAGAGGTTGTAGACTGAAGCCTTAATTTATAAATATGGCTGCAGTGTGGGATCCTGCACGGTGGGAAGCAGGCCCAAGTAGGGTGGGATGTCAGGACGGTAGGTGGGAGATTGCCGCAGCGTCCCTGCAGTCAGTCATAACGGCAGGCAGGTTGCCTAGCACTTGAAATTTTGTTCTCGTGTCTCGGACACTGCAACGGTTGTAACTTTGGGCAAGAGTCCTAAGTCCCTTCATTTAGCACCATCATAATTCTGAACGCTCACTGAATAAACTGTGGTAAGTCTAGGACAACCTGCATGTATTTTATTTATTATTGTTCTTGTTGCTCATTGTAAAAACAATTATATTAAAACTATTAATTATAAATATAGGGTCAAAACTATGAGCAGTAAAAAATTACTCATGTAACACATATGAAAGTATGTTGGTCATAACAGTATAATAGTCATAATGAGTCATCTTAATAAAATTATCCTCCCTCTTAAGGCCCAAGCTCTTATGAGATGGAAATTGTCTTGCATAAGCAGAATACTAGGAAGCAAGAGGCTGTGGGCAGGGTTGTGTAATGGTATGCTGACCGGGTGCAAGAGGGTATTCATCTTAGTTAGAGAATTTGATAATATCCCAACCACCTGGCTTGCACACACAGTTAATGTAGGAGTGATTTGTGGTTGAGTATGCTAGTATTGCAAAAATCATACCAATAGGAAGACAATATTATGTCACTCAATAGTTCCTTGAGAAGAACTTATCCATTTTTTTGGATGCATGTAATTTATTTCGTATATTGGTCATGCATTCCTGAGGGAGATTTTTATATCTGGATCTTCTTATAAGATGTCTTTAAGCATCAAATAAACAGTCCTAGTTGACAATCACTTAAATATGAGCCAGCAGTGTGCTGCAGCTGCCAAAAAAGCCAGCACAGTGCTGGGCTGCATTAACAGAGGGATAGAATCAAGATCACGTGAAGTATTAATACCACTTTACAATGCCTTAGTAAGGCCACACTTGGAATACTGCATCCAGTTTTGGTCACCGCGATGTAAAAAAGATGCTGAGACTCTAGAAAGAGTACAGAGAAGAGCAACAAAGATGATTAGGGGACTGGAGGCTAAAATATATAAGGAACAGTTGCTGGAATTGGGTATGTCTAGTTCAGTGGTGGCGAACCTTTTAGCGACCAAGTGCCCAAACCGCAACCCAAAACCCATTTATTTATTGCTGCGTGCTGGGTGGGCGTGGCTGACTGGGTGGGAGTGGCCTCGGTGGTCACAACCATAATAAAAAAAACTTTGTTCCCAAGAATTTTTTCCCTAGCAGCCAGGCAGAAGAGCGGAGTCCCGGAGCCGTTTCTGCCCACATCTTTCTCATTCTCAATTCTCTTGCCTGCGTGTTGTCTGCACCCCACCCCCAATTGCTCTACGCTTCACAGCCCAGGGAATGAGATTCACACACAGGGCCCCGCTCTTCTGCCTGGTGCTGGCAGCTCCATCATCTGCAGCAGCCGGAACAAGAGGCGGGTCACAGCAGCCCATTAATCTTTTTGCTGCATCGGCACCTGGGAGCTTGCTATTTCCCCCCCTCCACCCAAAAATCTAGGTCAAGGTGCAAACCCAGCTCATGTACCTTTGCTCAGGAGGAGCAACTTATTATGGTTGTGAACTAAGCCGTAAGAAGAGAAGTTTTACTTCTCGCCGATTTATGGGGGGGAGGAAGCCCTTGCCCAGCCTGGGCACATCCACTCGACGGATCTCATGGGGGTGGCTTCTGCTGCTGCTCTGACCGGTCAGCAGGGAAGCAGGTGGAGGGGCAGCCGGGGAGGAGGTGGAGGGGCAGCCGGGGTCTGGAGCCGCCTCAGCTGCTCACTAGCAGCCTGAGGCAGCAGATTCGCGCACCAGCTGCCCCTTCTGCTTCCCTGCAGGGCTGACCAGTCAGAGTAGCAGCAGAAGCCACCCCCATCAGATCCGTCGAGTGGATGCACCCAGGCCAGGCAAAGGCTTTTTTCTGGCTATCCCAGAGCGATTTCCGCCCATGCCGATGGGGCTCTGTGGCCAGTCCGCCATTATGCAGGACAGCCAGCATGCTGTGGCTGCTGACGGACACCATTGGCCCCCATGCACTTGCTGGCTTCTGTGGGGAGGGGCAATAGTGTCAGGCAGCAGATCTGAAAGCAAACCTCTGCTGACCATCCTCGCGCTGGTGGCGGTGGCTACGGGGGAAGGCAGGATCTGGCATGCGGGCACCCTTTGCCGCTGCTGCCGCACATTGTCCCGCGTGCGCCTCCGGGCGGGGAGGGGAGGGCGTCTGCCACAGCTCACCTTCCCCCGCCACTGCCCCAACCAGCGTGAGGATGGTCGGCAGTTTTGCTTCCAGATCTGCGGCTGACCGGACTTGGCGATGCAGGGATCACGCCGCCACCTCCTGCTTCTCTGTGTGGTTGGCCAGTCAAGGGGCTCAGAGCAGCAGCCGCCGCCCCCGTCAGAGCCACCCTGTAGACAGGACCTGCACCAGGTGAGGGCTCCTTTCCGGCTGTCCCGGGGCTGTCTCCGCTCAAGCCGATGGGGCTGCACTGCGGAAGGGAGATGGCAGCTCTGATTTCACTCACTCTCCCACCAAAACTGCTCTTTTTATACGTTCCCTCACCCCGCCCAGCTCTTGCAGCTGTTCCCGGACTGCGCATGCGTGGAGAGGGGGAGGGGGAGGAGCCCAGAAATGGCGTGCGTGCCCACAGGAACGGCTCTGCATGCCGCCTGTGGCACGCGTGCCATAGGTTCGCCACCACTGGTCTAGTTTAACGAAGAGAAGGACAAGGGGGGACATGATAGCAGTGTTCCAATATCTCAGGGGCTGCCACAAAGAAGAGGGAGTCAAGCTATTCTCCAAGGCGCCTGAAGGCAGGACGAGAAGCAACGGGTGGAAACTGATCAAGGAGAGAAGCAACTTAGAACTAAGGAGAAACTTCCTGACAGTTAGAACAATTAACCAATGGAACAACCTGCCTCCAGAAGNTCATTTATTGGTCTGTTTTTGTTTTCTCAATTCATCATTATTGTTTGTAACTGTTAGTTATTTTACTTATTGCTTTCAGTAGTTTCAGTATTTGGTGACAGGTAAAGAATTTCATGCTCGTTGCAGTTTCTTCTTTTGCTTGGGCCCATTATTCATCATATGCCAATCTTCATACCAAAATTATATTCTGGTTATTTATTGTCTCTTAAATTTTCCTGACGCAACCTCTTAATTAGTTTTCCTTAAATATTTAGTTGGCCTGTTCTTAATCTTAAATTACGAAATTATTAAAAACTAATGTCTTCTTTCCTCTGATTCCCTCTTTGATGCATTACTTGGTGTTGTTTCTTTCATATTTCTAGCTAATTAGTGCTTTGCTGAATTATTTTCTTCTTTCACTTTGGTTTCTGTTCTAGCTAAAATATGTTCTTGGTACTTTCCCGTCTGTTTTCACCTCAGTTGTCACAGGAGGTTTTGTTTTAGAAATTTAAGCCTGCAGGCAGGACTTAATGATTTCCCCCCCAAATGCATGCATATTAAGTGCATATTAAATTCTTTA